CTTTTGAGGCAATGGAAATTGCACTCCGGGCAACTGTTGCAAATGGGAGTACACATTTATAATTAGGACACTTTTAGTGTTTATATATGTACTTTTAAACGGCACACAAAAGTTGTGGACTCTTTAGACTCCCTTATAAATTGCAGCAGCTCTGTTTGGAAGTTGATTTGCCCTTGGCTGCTTGCAGTTTGCTGGAGTATCTCTCGCTTTATTTCTTGGTGCTCCTCCTGTAATTCCTGGAGTTTTCTCGTTTAATCCGCTTGTAGAAACAACACTAGAGCTGCAGAATACCTCAGATTTGCGAGGGTGCCGAAATCCCTCGCAAATTTCAGGTATTATCATGTCAAATACTTATACGCAAACATGCGTTTATTGTTTGTTTATTTAATGGCTGCAAAATAATAATCATGAAAAAAGAAAATACATACATACTTATATATATTTAATAAACTTACCACCACCAGTTTCTGCTCTCTCCATTATATCCATATTATTTCTGTTGTATTTTTATCTTTTTTTTGTCTTGAACGATTTGAAATTCGAATTACGATTTGAAATAGATCCTAGGCGCGAACTATTTTTTGTTGCCATTCATTGTTTCTAGGGTTGCATTTTGGTGGACGGCGGCCAGAGAGTACTAAGAGAATATGCATTTGCTTCACCTAAACTTCCAGTTCAAGATCCTGCCGAATAGTCGTTGAGGTAGTGTGCATCACTCCTGGGGAAAGTCCTCACTTCAGCAGTGTAGGCCACGGCAGGCTTTTTCTGTTGTTTAAGTTAGAGCAAAATATTACCGCGACTTTTGATTCGATGCACATGGTTAGTTGAAAAAAAATATCGGTATTTTTGTGCGATAAGAATCATTTTAAAATCTTATATAGAAATCCAATAAATGCAAGTATTTCGAATAGGCCAATCATGTATAGAATTGATTCATCAATCGTATAAAATTATGTGGGCATGGCTAAATGTTCTATATAGCTAGTAATATTCGTCGGAATAAAGAATTGAGCAATTGGAATGATACTCGTTTGTTTATGCTACTGTTGTATGAACATAAGTGCCTTGTGCGTCTGCCTACAGTGGCTTCAAATGACAGTAAGTCCTGATGTCACAGGGCACTCCCAAAAACAGCCGCTGTTCCACGGCTATTCCGTGCTTTCCACCTTCTTCGCATTTACAGTTAAAGTCGAGCCACAGAGTCTGCAGCGATGCCGAAACGACCAGCGGCGCCCTTTGGCGCAGTTGTGGCCCACTACTCCCTGCCTCAGCCACCAGAAGACGAATTACAATTGAAAAAGGAGGAAAAAGAACAGACCCTGGACGGCATCTGGACACCGGGTTCTTCAGGATTCTGGCGTCTGGTGCGATGGAAAGACGTGGGGAATGGGGCATGTTCTCGCGTCGGTCCGATGCGGAGGCTCATCTCATCGAGATCACCCGCGTGGATGGCAGCCGTCGTGCTTTGTGGAAGGGGGGTGGAGAAGCCGCGTTCCCCCGTCCTCGAGACGCGTCGCGGGTGCATGTACTTGAACAGAGTCGCCTCGGACTCCATAAGCCGCGCCACGATGGACGAATCCGAGCTGCAACCATAACCGGGAGCTCATATTCCTCTACTGGATGGCTAGGACTACTGGAGCGACTGGAGCACCGGGGACTTTGATCAAGACTGGCCAGAGCCGCAGCCTCGCTATGGACGTGGCCTGCATCCCTCCCAGCTACGACAGACTGCCCGAATTAGCTGCTGCCGGTGTCCGGCAAGATTATCCGTGCCCAGGTGGAGCTCTCTCTCCCTATTCAGCTGTGTTCTAAAACGTTGCCTCTTATAGCTTCCTGGGCGAACTCGCCGAAGCCTCGAAGCGTCTGCTCTTTTGGACAGATGTCAGCAGCCATCAGGCCATCATTCGGGCCCGAGTCGATGGCAATGAGCATGTGGACCTGGAAGAAGTCACGACTCTGGCCTTAGACCAACAGTCCGATATCCCATGCGTATCGATGTTAGTAAGCAACCAATATTGGACACCTTTGGACACTTGTAATCTCCTGTTCCCCCTTTACAGAAAGATCCGTGCTTCCATGCACATCTCGCAGGTCTCTGCCTTCGGGAGATTTGTGTCGGACAATAAGACCGGACTGGAGAGGAGCGCAATCACACCTGTCTGCACAGTCGCACAAAGTGTTTCCACATCTGCATGGCCAGCGGGGTATGACACGCAGTATTCACGACGTATGCTCGTGCCAGATTCTGATGCTCTGATGCTACTGGAGGGCAAGAAGAACTACGGCGTCTATCCGGACAGATAATTTTAAGTGGCGGGAGTAGTGACATAAAGAACGACTGTATATCCGCCTTCTGGCGCTGTGACGAAAGGACTGCCCGGCGGATCAGTTCAGCTGACAGTCAACCGAGGGCAGAGACAAGACTCTGATCTGCGATGGTACCACCAGTGACAACTGTGACAATGTCCACGATGAGGCCGACTGCTGCAAGCGACCTGAGAGTTTCAGTGTCCCATCAACCAGGTGAGTGGAAAGACACGATATCTGCCCAAATTCTTAAACTAACAATATTCTACTCCACCTTCCCACAGCTTTGCATCGGCCGCCCTGCTCTGCGATGGCCGTGCCTCGGATATTTTCGCGCACCGAACCAAAAATCGAGCTTTAATGGCTCCATAGAAGAAATTAAGTAACTAGACTTAAGACCGCTAGACCGCTTAGAAATTAAAGACTTTAAAAATGCAATAGAGAACCTGCCGGCTATGCCATATGAGGTGCAACGCGACCAAGCTGCGGATGAAGATGGAGCGAAAGACTATGGATGAGTATGCCAGGCTACTACTACCACAATGCCTTCTACAAGGACCCAAGGTCCGAAGGCGACACCAGTTTAAGGTACGCGCTTGTCCCCAACGAACGAAGGACAAGTTGCCAAAAGCGGAAGAGGATGATTCGCCCGAAGAGTTTCAGCATGAATAGGCAAAGTAAGTATAAGTACCACCAATTGTATGACACATTTTTGGCTAATTCTCGACCATTGACAGATTGGGAAAGTTATTTTCTCCGGTAACCTTCTACGCCTTTGCAAAGTACGCGGACAAGGAATCGAAACCTAGCCAGAAAAATTGTATCTTAAAAGAGTAACAATCGATCATTTCTGCCTCAGCACTGTTCACAGCTTAAAATGTGCAATGTACTTCTTACTTCATACAACAATTCGTACCTTTGGCATTCATTTATAGGTTTAAAACATTCCTTTTTGCTCTCTCAAATCGTGCATCATGTTTTATAATGGATTTAATTAAAATCCCTGTTGTTCACTCGCTTTCAAACAATTTTTATTTCGCGCTCTCTATTTTGTGATGGATATGATTTCCCCCCTTTTCAGCACAACAATGCACAACATTCTATACTCATTACGTCGCTTTTTAATACTTAATCTAATTATCTACTTTAATTACTGTACTTTGATCGGACATATTGATTGGAACTGGGAAATGTACATAGTGTTTATATATAGGAACTGGACTAGATCCAAAATGTTGTTCGGCATCACTTGGTCTTGGATAGTACCATTAAGGCTGAGCCATTTTAATAGCCAAAAGCTGGAAACATTCGGTAGTATAATAGGCATTAATAAGATACTTTTAATATGTACACCACATATCCATATAAACTTAGTTTTTAATATACCGCCATACATATACGAACCGGTTAAACGGGAACGGCGCGATTTTTGCTTTCTGCCAATGAAAATTGTCAAAAATGCATTGCATAACATATTATTGGAAATGCATATTATAGAATTGAGAATATATGTATTTGTCATCCCAGGCTCCAATTGGGCAGCTTACTGTCTTCTTACAGAGACCAAGAATAGGTATAGGGATCGGGATATATATACAAGACACTAATCATATGCATAAATACATATGTCTAAAACATATCGTTTGATCTTCATACATATCATATATTAAATAAACGAAATAGGGTATACAAAGGCATATACAACGGATTACACACAACATGCACCAGCATCATTGCGACTGTTTTGTTCAACTATTTTGTTTAAACCTTCTTTTAGTCAAAATACTATAAAAGCATGTATTTAGAATAAGCCAGTCAATTAGAAAATAGGTTAATTAATCGTAAAAAACTATGTGGGCATGGCTAAATATTCTATCTAGCTAGTAATATTCCTCGGAATATCAAAATTGACCGATATGAATGACTATCCTCTTTCCTTCTTTGGTTGTTTTCCCATTTTCGCTAAAAGCCTTTTTTTTACCTATTTCGTAAAAGCGTTTTTTTACGCAAAATCCAATAAAACCAAGTATTAAAAATAAGCTAGTTAAGTAGAAAATTGATTCATCAATCGTATAAAACTATGTGGGCATGGCTAAATGTTCTATGTAGCTTATTATATTTGACGGAACATCAAAATTAAGCAATATGGTTTCAATGCTTGCCGGAGAACTATTAACCTATTATAAGCCAAGGGGGTAATCATTTTAGCGCAGTTCAGATGAAAGATTCGTGGGGTTTGGCAACTTAAAGGGAAGGATAGGATGGATCTATAAGAATTTACAATCGTTAATATATTCCGCCATTTACCTCGTGTAGTTGAACTATTTAAATATAGGGGGCTTAAGTGGGCTAAGCTCGGTTTTCCATCATACGAGTCGCTATATTGTTGTTGAGAAACCAAAATTGAGGCAAAAACAAGCAAAGCCAAGTATTTAATGTGCCAGTTAAGTAGAAAATTGATTCATTAATCGGATAAAATTATGTGGGCATGGCTGGGCGTTCTTTCTAGCTAGTAATATTCACCGGAATTTCAAAAACGAGTAATATGTAAAATATAACTTGAATTCGTCAGTATATTTACGGTATATTTTTTAAACGGTTTGTTTCGGTATATTTCTTTGGGTCAGACGGTCGATGTGACGGGCGGTCACACTGCTGTAAATAAATCGGAATATTTTCAACAAATTTTTAGCGAAAAAATTGCAAATAAAACAAATTTGTTCTCTGTTAAATTCGGTCACGCCAGTGACCTAGGCCGCAGGCGCCTAGTTCGATGCAATGTAAGACCAGGGGCAAAAAAAGCTGGCAAAATCCGGATGTAAATAGTACCAATGGTCTCCTAGTGCTGCTGTTGAAAATTTGCATAAAAAAGTGAGCTGCGAAAGCAGCAATTAAAATGCAAAAAATGTACGCGTTGTTGGCAACCTTGACATTCTGGATAATCACCTTGCGATCGCCGCTTCAATCACAACAACTCCACATACCGCCGCCAGCGCCATGCGACCGTAGTCGCAAAGTTTTCACCGAACCCTATGGAGAGATCAGCGATGGCCCATCCGGCTTCAACTATACCCAGGACTCGCATTGCGAATGGCTGATCAAGGCTAAGAATGATAGCCAGTTTATAACGTTGACATTCCACAGCATGGGCACCGAGTGTTCCTACGATTATATTTACGTTTACGATGGCGACTCCTTCAATTCCACACTCCTGGGCAGCTTCAGTGGTCGGACACAGCCCCAGCGACTGGTGGCCCGAAGTGGCAGTGTAAGCGATTACCGATTAAAGGCACATATATCCTTAAATATCTAATATTTCCCCCTTCTAGATGTTGATCCTGATGTATAGCGATACCAACTATGTGCTGGATGGCTTTCGGGCTTCTTATTACATATCAAATTGTTTGAACAACTGCCACAATCATGGGAAGTGTATAGGCCATCAATGCGTGTGCCATGGCGAGTGGGTGGGTCCCGACTGCGAGGACGAGGCCTGTCCCCAGAAGTGTGGCGAGAGTCAGGGTCGTGGCAAGTGCCAGAAGAGCATATGTCACTGCTCGCCAGGATACAGTGGTCGCCTATGTGATCTCAGCGATAATCCTCATGGCAACAGCTGGCGCTGGCTGGCCACCGACGCCGAAGGCATGACCCCGCGTGCAGCACATACAGCTGTCTACATTGAAGAGGAGGATGCTCTGTTTGTGTTTGGTGGCTATGATCTGAATAATGTGATAAGCACATTGCAGGTAAAGAAAAGACAAGAAAAACTCTCTCACTTTTGAAGCTAATTTGTTTTTTGTCTGCTTTTAGATCTACCGCTTTAGCACCAGTCAGTGGGAGGATGAGTGGGGCATTGCCTTGCAGAGTCGGCGACACTTTTATCATCCTCAGAAGATCGACCATACCCTGCTCAAAGCTGTGCTCCAGCACAAGAACGAGGATGAGGCCAAGCTGTGGGGCCTCAATAGCGATGTTAGCTTCTTTCGCAACATTCTCTACACGCTGGCCGAATCGAATCTGCATCAGCGACGCACACGCTCCTCCCTGCCTCTTACTATAGTCAATGCCAATTCCACCGACGAGGAACTGAACGAATATCTAGAGGATATCCTCGAAGTGGTCACCGATCACAAGCCCCACGGGCGCTATGGCCATGCAGCAGATCGTGTGCCGGGTGGTTTCGTCATCTTTGGTGGGAAACATGCCAATGGCAGCTTCTACAGCGATCTCTGGCAGTACAATAATACGGAAAGTGGTGGCAAGTGGAAACAAATGGCCATCAGGTCGAAGATAAAGCCCCCGGCGGTGGCCAGGCACACACTAAACACAGCCCGGGATCACTTGTATATGTTTGGTGGCAGCCTGGAGACGGGAGAATTCTCCTCCAGCGTCTATCGCATTGCCTTGCCCCTGTCGGAGGATTCCCAGTGGGAGCTGGTCAAGCCGAGAGGTGGCAAAACGTTGGATGTGCGACTGGCGGCTCACTCGACGGTGTACTACAGGGCCACACATTCACTGATTGTATTCGGTGGCATCATGACCAGCCTGGCACGCTTCTCTAAGCTGTCGGATCGCATCTTCGCCTTTCAATTGGATCAAATGCACTGGACGGAGATACTGTACCCACGTACGGCGCTGCGAGACACGAATATACCCAGAGAGAGGGCCTTCCACACGGCCACCATATCGGGTAACTATATGATCGTTTTCGGGGGCTATACGCATCGGCACAACAAGGATGAGATCTGCTACGACAATCAGATGTACTGGTACCATTTGAGCTGCCACATTTGGATCAATCAGGTGGTGTCCGCCGAGGACAGTCTCTACCCCAAGGCCCAGGGTGTGTTTGCACAGGCGGCGGCACTGCGTCGCAATCATACGCTGCTGATTGTGGGCGGCTATCATGGGAATGTGAATGCCGATCTGTTTGCCTACGAACTGCCGCAGGTGCTCAGAGTGGAGAATACACTGTACAATCCGGAGGTATCCTGCCGACTGCATCCCTCCCACACGGCCTGCCTGTCGAATCCAGAGTGTGGCTGGTGCTCTGCAGACAGCAGCTGCTACGGACGCACCATTGGCGCGAACTGTACGACGAATCTACAGACAACGAGGTGTCCTGGCATATGCCCCTCGCTGGGGGACTGCCACTCGTGTCTGGTGCATGGCAGCAAGTGGGGCAAGCAGGGCTCAGGCGGCGGCAAGGCCTTCTCGGTCACAAGCAAACTGGGCCTAAACGAGTGCACGTGGTGTGTACAGAATGCCAAGTGCCATCATCGCGACGACAACTATGGCATCTGTGGCGAATCGACTGGCTGGTGGGGCGACCAAGGCACAGAAATACGCACGCCCACGCTCTGCACCATCAACGATCGGAGGCCCGGACTCACGTACATCAAATACCATTATCCCATCAATTTTACAATGCCCGATTATGTGGGTATTGTGAATGCCACCATGGTGGACTTCTCCTCGCCGCCGTTCACCACCCATTTTGAGCAGAAACTCGAGGGCGAAATGCTGGCACGCCTCGTCGGATTTGTGCGGCCCAAACAGCAGTGGAACAACTCGGCCATACAGGTGTGCAGCAGCTACTCCTCGTCGCTGCTGAGATTTGGGCTGGGACTGAATCTCGACGAGCTGGTGAATGTCACCTCCCAGAGCTCCAATCAATCCTACTGCAGCAATGTGCCGCTACCCACCACAGAGATGCCATTCCTCATAGACTTTCAGGCGCGTCGCCGCATCGGTTTGAACAGCATCTACAACACGTATCAAAAGACCAAAATGGAACTGCAGCATCTGCATGGGGGACAACTGAATGCCTTTACGTTTGAGTATCTGGAACCGTACTACTCGGGACACTGCACGAAGTACGAGAACTGCCTGCACTGCCTCACCGATGCCTCCTGTTCGTGGTGTCCCCTGACGGCCAAATGCCATTTGAGGTCCGTCAACGAGTCGGCTGTGTGCACAGATCCCAAGGATACCAGCCACTGGTCGTATCTCATAAGCAAACCCACCCAATGCTCCAATTGCACAAACTTCGTGAGCTGTGAGGCCTGTGCGTCGAGTGGCCTGTGCGAATGGTGGACAGAGGATGCACGTTGCGGCAGGATTGGCAAATCCAACAGCAGCGTGCGAGCCGTAGAGCAGTGTCCTAGATCCTGCCGGGAACGCAAGGGCTGTCAGGAGTGTCTGAGCGAGCGTGGACGCTGTGTGTGGTGCGAGGCCAGTGCCCAGTGCTTCAGTTTCGCGGTGTACACCAGCGAATATCAGTTTGGCATGTGTCGCGAGTGGATGGATCAGGTGGTGCCACGACAACAGGAGAAAGCAGCAGCAACAACAGATGAGCAGCAGCAGCAGCAGCCTCTGCCTCCCCTCCAGCAGCAGTGTAAATCCTGTGAACAGCATCGCAACTGCTCCGCCTGCCTGCGTACTCTCAGCTGTGGCTGGTGCTTCGATCGCGACAATCCCATAGAGGGCATCTGCATGCAGGGCGACTTTAGCTACAGTGCCGGCAACTGTTCGCTGGCTTTGAACAGCTCCTCCCATCATGATGCCGAATGGGCGTATGCCCAGTGCCCGGACGTAGACGAATGCGGACTGGGACTCCACGATTGCCACAAGGAGGCCAAGTGTACCAACACCCAGGGCAGCTACAACTGCCACTGTCGGAGGGGGTACGTGGGCGATGGGCGTTTCAGTTGTGTGCGCACCTGCTTTGAGCTCTGCCAGAATGGTTTCTGCTCGGGACCGCCCGACTACAGCTGTCGCTGTGACTTGGGCTGGACCGGCAGCGATTGCGGATTGAGTTGTGGCTGCAACAATCATTCAACGTGTGCCGAGAGACTTGGAAAGTGCGACCAATGCCAGGCCTGGACAGAGGGCGAACGCTGCGAGAGATGTCGCCAGGGGAGTCATGGCAATGCCACCGCCCCGCAGGGATGTCATCCGTGCGAGTGCAATGGCCATGGCAACCAGGATCTGGGCATCTGCAACGTAAGCAACGGCGAGTGCTACTGCAAGGACAACACCCAGGGCCTCAAGTGCGATTCCTGTGCCCCTGGCTACTATGGCGACCCACGAGACGGCGGACAGTGCTACTACCAATGCGAATCCCGAGGAATACTCTCTAACATTGGCCGCAGTGCCATTGGCTCCTATCAGGCCTATCGTTCGCCCTGGGGCGCCAGTCTCGAGGTGAAGGAATGCTTGTGGATACTCCAACCCAAGACCCTGCAGGCTGAAAAGTCGCTGCTGCAGCTGGAGTTCCAGTGGCAGAGCCTGGCCATGGACTGTGACGAGAATGCTGTGTACATCTACGACAGTCTGCCGGATCTCACGGGAGCCACACAACAGAATCAACTGCTGGCCGTGGTCTGTGCCCCCTACAGTTCGGCGCGCATCATTGAGGCCCGGTCGAGCCATGTCACGGTACACTACAAACAGGCTGGTGACCATCGCCACTTCGGCTTCAATGCTTTGTACTCCGTCAAGAACTGCGTGGCTGGGAGCTGCCTGCCGCCGCACATATGCGACTCACAGATGCGGTGTGTTTGCCCCGCGGGATATGTGGGCGCTCGCTGCGAGATCGAGGTGTGTCCGAGCAATTGCAATGCCAAGCGCGGACAGGGCTACTGCGACACGGAATACGGACGCTGCATTTGCAGCAATGTCAATTACGCTGGGGCCGATTGTTCCACGCTAGTACAGCCGCATCATCTGGTGCTGACGGAGCTGTTCAACACGCAGCTGTTGAGCGAGAGCCAAGAGCATCTAAGGAAGACCATACCACGTTTTGGGCACTCGGTTAGCGCAGATCGGAGGGGATCCCTGTGGATGTTCGGCGGTTACTCGCCGAATCATGGACCCCTCAATGATTTCCGACAGTTTGACATCAAGAACGGCACTTGGCTGCAGGTCACCGTGGAGTCGTCGACCCCCGAGGATAGCATGCCCCTCGGCAGGTACTTTCATGCCTCTGAGATCTATGTGAAGCGTCAGATCATCTATATCTATGGCGGTATCGGCGTGAATACGCGACTGCTGGATGACTTTTGGATGTTTTCGATACAGAATCAACGCTGGAGTCAAATCAAAGTGGAGGTGGACTCAAAGGATGTGGAAACGCCAGAGCCGCCGCCTCGTCTGGCCGGGCATACCCTCACTCATGTACGCTACCAAGAGCATGAATCACTGCTGCTCGTGGGCGGCCTCACCCTGAACAAGTCGCGGCCTCTAGAGCTCTGGGAATACAGTTTGGACACAGGACGCTGGCAGAAGCTGGAGGCAATGGGCGCACGAATGCCCGTGCTGTACGGCCACAGTGCCGTTTACCATGCAGAGACCCAGAGTCTGTATCTGTTCGGAGGCTATGCCTCGCAGCCGCAGAGCAATCTGTATGCGTTGGATCTGCAAAAGCTCAGCTGGACAGAGCTGCCCAGCTTCAAGGAACTGAATGCACCCGCCACGAACCTGCCCAGAGCTCGCTATTTCCATTCGGCAGTGAGCACCGAACACTACATGATCGTCTATGGGGGCAGGACCATCCCCTACAATGCCACAGATGTCCTGATAGCCTATGTCTACTCGTGCAACCAGTGGGTGCGACTCACCGAAGATGTGGAGCTGATTGGTCGCGTGCCAGCCTCCAATTATGCCGAGGACATGGCCATTGATCCCGATACCGGAGTGATATTCGTGATTGGCGGCTGGGATGGCAGTGCCACGCACAGCCATGTCACGAGGATCGCTTTGCCCGAGGACATTTGCCAGCTGTGGAGCAGCGGGAAGTATTTGTGCCGGCACTACATGGGCTGCAGCTATTGCACCGTTCAGAATACGTACAGCTTCAGTAGCCACTGCTTCAGCCAGGGTCGAACGCCCTGCGCCAATCACAATGGCACGCTGGTGGTCAACAATGGTGCCGCCTGCACGGATGCCTGGATGGCCAGCAGGAACTGCTCGAGCTTCGGCAGCTGCAGCGCTTGTCTGGCCGCCTGGCCCACCCATCACGAGGTGACGCCCGTCTGTCAGTGGTGCGATCAATGTGGCATCCAAGGGCGATGCGTGCCCGCTGGCGTTGATTGCTGGCGCAGTGCCTGGTGTGGAAATGACCAGAGTGTGGCTGTCCTAGGACTGTGTCCTCTGCCCCAGTGCTATTGGCTCAACTGCGAGTCCTGCCTGCTGCAGCCGCAGTGCCAGTGGGCCCGGAACGAGCTCGGCAGCGTCGAGTGCATATCCAAGGAGCTGGTGGAGAAGAACCAATACCGCGTAATCGATCGCTGTGCCCCGCCCTGTCACAGTCATGAGAACTGCAGCAGCTGTCTGACCAACACGGACCAGGATCAAAAGGACTGTAAATGGTCCACGATGCTGGGCCAGTGCCTGTCTCCCAGCTCGCAGCCGCTGCTCTGCGCTGGCGGTGTCTGCGGACTGGTACTGGAGTCTGCCGAGCTGGATCGCTGCCCGGAGCCGTGTCATGTGTACCAGCAGTGCTCCAGCTGTCTGGAGCATGCCCACTGCGGCTGGTGTGCCCGCGAGGGTCTCAACGGAGACGGCATCTGCACTGAGGGTGCGCTGGAGAGCAAGCAGGAGCATCCGTCGGGCTCCACCTGCGATCTAATCTACTCGACATGGCGCAACGACTCCCACCTGACGCATGCGGATGTCGTATCCTGGCACTACATCCACTGTCCAGCCGAGAACGAGTGCACCAACGGACACCACAACTGCCATGCCATCTCGGAGCAGTGCATCGATCTGGACACCCCGCTGGGCTACAAGTGCGTCTGCGCGCAGGGATATCGCGAGGAGCAGGGCACCTGCCTGCCCGTCTGCAGCCAAGGATGTGTCCGCGGCAAGTGCGTCAGTCCGGACGAGTGCCAGTGCGACTTCGGTTATGTGGGGGCCAACTGCAGCATCCAGTGCCTGTGCAACGGCCACTCCAACTGCGAGTCGAGCAGCCTTCTGGACATCTGCCTCAAGTGCCACAACAACACGATGGGGGAGCAGTGTGAGAAATGCCAGCCATTGTTTGTGGGCAATCCTCGCGAGGGCCATTCCTGCCAGCCCTGCCTGGAGTACTGCCACGGCCACAGCGATGTCTGTGTGGCCTATGACTCGGATCCGACTGTCTTCAACATGTCACGCTCTGATTTGGATCGCATACTGCTCGAGGGTCCTGCCCACAATGCCACCTGTCTGCGGTGCGGCAATCACACGGCCGGCGATCGCTGCGACAGCTGCCTCACGGGCTACTTTCGGGGCAGCGAGGATCTGCACAAGGAGTGCCGCCCCTGCCAGTGCCATGGCCATGGCAGCATCTGTGACCCCGTGACTGGGGAGAAATGCAATTGTGCGAATAACACGGAAAGCGATGCCACCTGCACAGCGGGTGGGGGTAAGAACTCAGCGCAGCTCTGCTGGAGTGTGCAGTGCTCCAAGTGTCGGGACTCTTACGCGGGCAATCCCATCGATGGACATCAGTGCTACAAACAGATCACGGTGGAGTCGCGCATGTGCTTCGACGCCAAACCGATAGGTGAGTCCCTCAGCCATTCATTTTCTTGTTTGATAATCATTCTTCCCATCATTCCGCAGAGGAATGCAAGTCAAAGCCCGCCGCCTTGAAGCCCGGCCAGACGGTGTTCTTTGTGATCCAGCCACGCTTCATGAACGTGGACATACGGATAATCATCGATGTGACCCAGGGTGAGTTGGATGTGTTCATGTCCCCGCAGGACGACTCCTTTATTGTGGAGACCAACGAGACGACTGGCTACCATGAGATATTCTTGGACAATCGCTACAATTGGGGGCCCAAGCAGCAGCGCGATCGGCCCTTGAATGTGGCTCTGCCCAGGCATGATAATGTGACCATTCAAAAGCTATTTACGCCCGAGCGACGTATCTATGCGGATAAGGATGGCCTCGGCGGCGGAATGAGCATGAACAGCTACTATGTGCCACAGCTGCACGACTGCAAGAGCCACGGGGGTCACAACTTTATAGTGAAGGATCAGCATGCCAAAGACCTAAGCACACATGTCACCCTCAACCATTGCAACACGCTGCTGCGGCTGTTTGGGCTGAGAAATCGACTGGTTCTCACCTTGCCCCAGCACGCACACAACCTGAGTGCCACGCGATTCTTCATTGCTCTGCGTGCGAACGCCGGACCAGAGCCTAGCTATGGATCTGTGGTCTTTCGCCAGGATCAGCTGCACATTGATCTGTTTGTGTTCTTCTCGGTGTTCTTCTCCTGCTTTTTCCTCTTCCTGGCTGTCTGTGTGATTGTCTGGAAGGTGAAGCAGACGGCGGACCTGAGACGGGCCAGACGACAGCATGTTGTGGAAATGCTGCACCTGGCCAAGCGCCCCTTTGCGCAGATCTTCTTGGCATCCAACAGTTTGGACACGGAGAGTCCGCGCGCGTCCACCTCCACACGGGCCATGCGCCAGCGAGCCCGTCAAGCCTTGCTGCTCCAGGAGCAAGCGTCCACGGGAGACCCTATACCGCCAAGGTACACGCGCCACCGCCATGCCAGGGACATCATGATGGTGGCCATCGAGCCCACGTCCGATAATCAGGCTGCTGTGGGTACGGTCTTTGTTAGCCTGCCAGGACGCTCCAGAGCTCCGCTGAGCATCGCTCTCGGCTCCACACTGATCACCTATTCGCGGCAATATATGCGTGCCCAGAGGGCCCACCATGTGGCGCACCATCCGGCATAAGCTGCTGCACAATAAGGAATCTCTTCTGTTGGCATGAAGCCTTGGACCTAGTGAAATATTTGCGTGTGTGTGCGTATGCAAAACGACATGTACTATGCATATATATATTGATATAGCTTAGGAAAATACTTGTACATAACGTTTAGATAACGAAAATAATGACTAATCCTATGTACATACTAGTATGTATGTACGATATAGAGCAGCGATGGGCAACGGTCCTTGATACAAATGCTAGCACGTGGCGCGGCACATTGTGACTCGGACTCGATACGCACAAGCGATTTCCGCTAAAGAGAATCGCCGAGAATTGCGAAAATCCCATTCATGTCATGTGCAGGATACTGCAGAGGCGCACAAACGAATGCTGCACAAGAGAATTCCTAAGAATTGCAAAAACAACTTGCAGGACACGGAACAATAATGCTCTGTTGGGCTACTCCTAAATTCAGCGTGCTTCTCCGAGCACACAAGTCGACGTAGAACTCCATAGAGTCGACCCCGAGGCAGACCAGGGACACAGAACGGAGCACAGGGCCAGGGGCAACGGTTGCCTCTGGTCGCAACCAATGGATTGGTGCCAGATGGACATCGTTAAACCACTTCCGACACGTCATACGAGGGAGGCCGGCCCACCCGCTGATATAGAAGATGCAAAAAGCTGCTCACAAGTTGTGAGAAATGCATACATAAATTTCATATAAACTATAAAATATATACTATATCTATATTGATTGATAAACATACAGGAAAATGGATAAACATTAGATATAAGAGCATATAAGAATACTCCACAAAATTGGGTCTCTACATTGTATCAAAAAAACCAAACTGGTAAATTGGTAAAAAAAAAAAAAATTCACAGAACAAAAAATAATTATTTCGACTGATTTTTAAAGGACTGTATTCATTTGGTATGGTTTGAATTATATATAATCTCTATATAAACCCAATTGGCTGAGAATTAGCTCATATGTGTATATGTGTAATCGGTACTATTTGTGAATTTAAACCAGTGTTAAGAATAAGAACAAACGTATAAACAGAAACGGAAACCAAGTGAACAACTCGCCAGCAATAGGAATTTGATATTGTACCTATATGATATATATGTATATGTATGAGCATGTCAATTTGATAGCAAGAAAGCCATACGAAAAACGAAACAAAGAAATCATGAAATACGTATTATATATATATATGTGTACTAATTGTAAACTGAATGTGTCATAGCATTAGACGAACTTCGTTCGATGTGTTGTTAATGTCTAATCCAAGTGTTTCGTCATGCCTATGTCGCCTAAGATACATATGTATGTGCGTGTCTGTCTCTAAACAATGTAATATGATTTATATTTATATTCTCGCGTACCTAAGTATTTAAGTGTATATCTCCCTAATTGTATTTTGTATAAAGTATTATAATATTTCCTTCTCTGTTGGTGGTTTAGCTAAGCAATTGCTCAATTAGTTTTTTAGCTCTCTCTCTCTCTCTATCTATACGGAAATGCGCACTTGTCACGCACTTATGTACCTACTATTTTAAGAACAACCCCACTACTATATTTATGTACCCAAACACACACTTGTTATGTTTACACACACCACACACGCAGACGATAAGCGAACAAATCATGGAATTACGAAAGGACAGATAGTCTTTCCAGAAGCATACATCTCACAATAGCAGACGAACAAATTTCAAACTGAATCTTTCCTAACGCGCTCTATACACTATGACGTCTCAATAACAGTAACCAGAAGGTTGTAAGAAAGAAACTCTCACTACTATATATCACTTTAGTTAAGAAAAAGAAAAACACGCTCTCTCCCTCCATTAGGTATCCCTTTTTTTTGTTTTAGCAAAATTTTTAGAACTGATGTACATTTAGAAATTATACTTCAAAGCGTCCCATTCTGCAATATATGTATGTGTATTTATATTATTAATAATTATGTTTTTAATCATTATTTTTGAATTGTGTTTGCAATAAAGAAGATACGTATGTATGATAAAAAATATATATACGAGTATAGTGTATGTTTAATATTTATGCTGTGCTCTCTGGTTTCAAGCCCACGTATTTAGTCATGACCATAACTTTGTAGATGATAAATATTATTTATTTGTCTCTTTTATATTTAAGGAGTTTATCCGTCGACATGTAGATTTTAAAGAAGTGGAAAAGAAACAGTTTTTATACCCGATACTCAAAATGAGTATTGGGGTGTATTAGATTTGTGGTAAAAGTGGATGTGTGTAACGTCCAGAAGGAATCGTTTCCGAACCCATCAAGTATATATATTCTAGTCCCTATCAGCGCCTAGTGCTCAAAGACTATAAGGGCTAGAGAACCAACGTTTTATATCCGGACTTCTGTGATACATCACTGCTACAAGTATATTTCAAAACGAGAAAACTGAAAACCCAGAATCGTGAACCCCTTCCGCCCCCGCAAAGGACGAAAATTTGGGGCATCCACAAAGCTCAGAGACTATTAAGGCTAGAGTAACCAAATTTGTGATCCGCACTCCTGTTAGATCTCACTTTAAAACGTATATCTCAAAATTTCGCCCCGACAAACGACGAAAATCTGTTGCGTTCACAATAAAAACGCAGAATCATAGAGAATGAACATATCTATCCAATTGCTGAATCTGGATCAGATCGGATAATTTGTATAGCCAAAAACAAGAAATCAATTCACAGTGGCTACGCAGCGCCCGTGTCGTGTCGTTCGGAGGAGAGCCATACTGACTAAGTATCGGGTATAAATGTAGAGTTGCGGTGTCCGTAGCAACTCACAACGTTCCCCCTCGTTTGCTCTTAAAATCCTGGATGTTTTTATTCCACTAGAGACTTTGGCGTTCGGCCTGACAGTTTCCCTTCGATTTTAGAGGAAAACTTATGCATTCCCTCTGACAGAATTCCCAATCGGCAAGGTCAGTTTGCGATTTTGGAAAGGGGTGAGTCCTGTCGGTGTTAGGGGTAAAATCAAAATTGGGAATTGGTTTTGTGGGAATTTCTAGACAGATTAGGGAGCCGTCTACATGTGTAGATTTCTGAGCCGCCGTTCAGGGTGATTAAGTTGGTGGCAGCTTTGGTCAACTCAAACGCTTTGCCTCAGGCGTTAGACATTTGGGACCCCCAAAGGCGGTTAAAGCTTTTTTGTAGCACTTCTTACAAGGTAAAAGGAATTTGTCCATGTTATAATTCAACTTCTTTCGTGGAGTCGAGCGAATCGTAATCATTATAAAAGGGGGAACCTGCTCTAAAAATTGTAATTGAATTCTTTTAAATCATAGTAGAGGATGCCCGCGTACTGAAAGAATGTGTTCCGATTTTTCCGGTTTCATTTCACAGAATCTACAGGAGTTTCAACTTCTTGATTCACATTAGTTATTGTGCAAACGAATAATTTTTATTGATTAAATAGTTACATATATGTGATACGTTATATTATGTATTAAGATTGTAAGCCTTTGCTTTGCTTTTGCATTCCTTGTGTGTTTTAATTATTAACGAATCGAAATTATTTAACTAGAACTTGTGGTCGAAGGCAGGGAGGCCAGCAGATCCTCGATGAAGCTGTCCGGCTGTTCGATCAGAGTTAGAAGTCCTACAAAGAAATATGGTTAAGAAAATACGAAAAGTGCAAAAGCAAGCGAATGATTTTACCTGCCACATCGCAGAACTCGCCAAACGAAGTGCACGGCAATAGCTCCTCAGTCAGGATGTGTAGGATGCCATCTGTTGACTTAAGCATAGCCTCGTCATTTTTGCGTATGTAATCGAACAGGGAAACTGGCCAGGCCTCCTCCTTGGGCATGGTCACCAATTTGAACAGGATGTTGTATATCATATCGATCATGGCCCACATCATCAGGTACGGCTTGTACACACTGTAATCCTTCACCTGGCGATCGGCCGGCGCAAGCAGAGCCTTGCACAGCACCGATGGTGAGACGTGTCGTGCCTGGGCCACGGCCAGCATTCGTTTCAGATGCGCCACCTTGTGCTTGTTCCACAGCTCGCGACTGTGCAGCGTCACCGAAATGGTGATCATGTACAGCGGTCCCTCTACCTCGAAGCCACACTCGAGCCACTTATCGCTGGGCGGGGCTGTTAGATAGGCGAGTACCGTCTTGCTATCCCTGGCCGCCGAGCGCGAGGACAGCAGCATGTAGATCGAATAGAAGAGCAGGTAGGGCACAAAGTGCATATTGGACTGGGGACCACCGCCGCCGGCATCATCGTGGAAGCTACGCTCCCAGGCGAAACGCACCAGCAGCAGCTTCAGGTCGTGTATGCTGCTCGTGTAGGAGATGTCACAACGCTGGGTGCTCTCCTGCATGTAGCTGCTGTGACGCGTCATCGAGGCGGAGAAGGTCGTCTCGAGCACGGACGGACCCCAGAGCGGCAGCAGACCATTGCATCGGGTATTGGCATTCTGCAGACTAGCCCGCTCCCATTCATCACGGCCGCGGGTCAAACGAATCGCTGAGGTGTGACAGTCCACATGGACCACATTGAAATGGGTCACCGTGGTGTAGCCAATGGTTTTGCGGGACTTCAGCTCGAATTCCTCCACGTTGCAGCGCTTGGTGAACGTATAGATGCCCAGCACCTTTTCGGGCTGGCAGGCATACCCCTCGCGGCAGATGAAACACGTCAGCCCAGTCTCGTCGCGCAGTTTCTCGATCTTTTGCAGTATAGAGCCCTTGGCCGTCACCTGTCCCTTCTCGTTCGTACGCATACCCAAGGCATCCAGTTGTTTCTCGCGCGTGGCCATGGCCAGACGTTTCTTTTCGGCGCGCGTGAAGTCACGCACTTGCTGGACGCGGGCCGCGGTGGCTGCATCGGTTGACAAAGCCTCTAGAAGATTCTCGGCCAGACTGCCGACATGCTCATCGCTGGACACTTGCTCTAGGCGATGTATAATCGGTATAATGTCCTTGCTGATGGCCACCTGAGTGGCCTCGTGATGATTGGAGAGTCCGGTAAGGAAGCGCAGTATATACTTGAGACTAGGGCGCGAAATGAACTCCTTCAGCTCGTCGGAGTCGGTGCGCAGGAGTGTGGGCTTCACACATGGGGCATGCTCTGTGATGTAGGCCAACGAGCGTTCCACAATGCCCAGACTGACAATGTAATCCTTGAGGGTGCCGCCAATGCAATTGTGCTCGATCTGATTGGTCAGGACGCAGAAGAGCTCAAGCTTGAACTCCTCCTCGGGTGTGCGTTCTTTGTCAAAGCGTTTGAAGTTGAGTGTGTCCTGAAAAAAAGAGTGTGTAAGAAGCGTGCTCCACAAAGAACTCTCTCCCTGAAACCTACCTTGAAATGCTCACACAGCAGGGCCATCTTCACCTCATTCCCGTAGACCAGGGCGGCCAGCACACGAATGAGATGCCGCAACACCGAAGGATTGTTGCGTACATTCGGACAATCCGTGCAGGAGATCAATGCCGACACATACTCGGGCCCTCCGAACGTCAGGGAGAACTGCAGGAACGAGTCCAGCGTATCACTGGCTGCCTTCGAGAGCAGCGTTTCCATAATCTCCAGCAGTTGTTCGGTGACTGCCGACTGTATTGAGTCATTCTCCGATTGCAGGCACATCTGTAGCACCTTCAGCAGTGTATTAATGGCCCCAATCTCGGGCTGGCACAGGACCTCCTGGCAGCGGCGCACTTTTACACAGATCAGGAAGAGCTTGAGTAGAACCTGGATAAGTTCACGCTGGCGGGAGATTCTCTGCAGACTGCCAATCCTGTCCAGCATCACACGAAGGCCATTACAATCGGCCAGTACGTTGGCCATGCGGTATAGCTGCTCTGTGTCCACCGCCTCCTGACTCTTGTTGTTCAGCGTCTCGACAAACTCCTCGGTGGCATCGCCCAGCAGTCCGCGCATGCGATAGACAATACGCATGGCATCGCGATCGCCGCCCTCGGCCAGCCACACCTTTTTGTACACATCCTTGACGGGCAGGTCCAAGCTAATGATCTTATTGTTCACCAGCAGCTCCATGCCGTTGTCATCCTCCAGCAGGGCAATCAATTCACAGTCCGTGCAGATTTTGTTCTTTACATCTCGCATCAGGGGGCCCAGACCCATTTCGCCGGAGGGATAGGGATTGCCGAGCATGCGGCCCTGCAGGAAGTCCTCCTGCTGTGGATCCTTCTCCAGGGTCATGTAGAACTCGCTCTCGTCGTGCTCCTCCGGATGTATGATCGAATACAGACGCTCAAAGATAAACACCGGCGTCTTGATGTCATTCATGCGCGTCTTGTCGACCGTATCAATGAGAATCTCCATAAAGGCACGCGTCTCTTCTTCGGTGCCGCTGGTCATCTCCTCCAGCATTTCGAGCAGCTTCTCCTGCGCCTCGTCAATGTGTCGGGTTCGCTGAACCACCAGACTTCTCAGAGCCAAGTAGCTCTCGAGCACGGGGCCCAGCAGACGGGTCTTGTAGGTCCTGCGTATGTTGGGGCACTCGAGGAAGAGCCACAAGAGCTCCACATATCGGCGCAGGGCATAGCCGAGCGTCAGGTCCGAGGACAGCGAATGCTCTTCCATGCAATGCACTTTGGCTATCTCCGTAGCCAGCAGCGACGAGATCTTGCACAGCACTCCCCTCAGCACCAAATACTGCAGCCAGGGCGACTCGGTGGCAATGCTCCGGTAGAGAGCCAAATACTCGTTGCTGGCCTCTCCCGCCTCCCCCACATGATACAGGAAGGACGTGAGCAAATTGAGAGCCTGCTGCTTGCGTTCGTGCGTGCGTGCAAGTCCGCCGAGCAGCGTGCACGCCAGTTGCCGGCCAAAGCGGGAGTTTTCGTTGAAGAGCAACGGTTGGATCCACTCTGCATTGAACACCAGCGGCTTGGTCACACGCTGCTTGTCCAGCACATTCGAACGCCAACGTTTGCCAAACTTCTCGCCCAGATATGCCGCCCTGGCGGCTTCCTTGGTCTTTCTTGGCGGTGTCTCCGTGCCCGCCGACTGCTGCTGTTTGCTGCTCTTTGGCTTGGTGCCTGCCGGTGCATCCTGTTGGTGGTGGCTGATAGGCATGCGATTGCTCCAGGCCAAGTACTCGTGATTCTGATCCGAGTTGAGCCACGCCCGATAGTCGATGGTGTTGCCTTCGGGCAGTTTAATGTTGCTCAACTCAATGGCAGATACTGGCTTGCCGCCGCTGCCGCTGCCAGAGATCGTGGGATTAATCAGACTCTGCAGAATGCGCAGGCAGGGATGCAGCACTGAAGCCACCGGTCCACGGGGCAACCTTCACGAGGAGGAAATGGCTATTAGCTTTAAGAATCATTAGGGTTTGTCTTCCACTCACTTGCAATTGCTGATAAACAGCTCAAAGATCACCTTCAGCTTGTATTCCCAGCATAAATCATCTTGGCTGAGAAGCACCTCCAGCAGCGTCATCTCCTGATGCACGGCTGCCTCCAGACTAATCAGGGGAATGGACCCCATCAAAGCGCTCTTCACACGCGACGTGACCAGCTGCAGCAGATGCATGCACGCTTCGGCATTGTCCTTGGTCAACACCACCAGCAGATTGCGCACCTCGTTCTGGATCTGCGGTGTTCCACGGCGCAGATTATGCTCCGCCAGCTCGCTGACCAGTCCCTGGCTATAGAGACCCATGCGACAGTCATAATTGTAGGCCATGGCCCGCAGCAGGGTAAGGCACTGCTCAGTGGAGGCCAAGGCGCAGCCATAGCAACGGTTCGTTGTGGGATTCTCGGCGCCCAAGACCAAAGCCAGATTGCTGGGCGGCAGATCCTGTTGTTGGCGATCGTAGGCCACCAGCTCGCTAAAAAGGATGGAATGAAATGGGGATCACCAAAAGCCAACTCAAGAGGCAACATAACAGCGAAATATATCGACCAGTGAGACTACATACTCCTGATCGATAAATCACCCACCCAACTCTTTCGCAGACATAAACCTCTCTCTTGCCACAGCCCCCATAGCCCCAGACATCCATTGGAATATCCCTAACTCTTAGTCTTCTACAAACTAAGCATTCAACGAGACGGACAGGCAGACGTATGGACTCGTCGGAAATGAGCTACTTCTCGCTGTAACATCGACCATAAACCCCTATACTCTATAGGTACCGTTTGTTTGCATCGAACTCACCTGCGGCAGGCTTTGACTTTCTGGACAATCTTGCTTAGTTCCTCGAAGCTGGCGCGTGATTCCACGCAGTATTTCTGGGCGAGCAGCTGGATGATCTTGTTCACCTGCGAAGTGCTATGCACACTGGCCATGTTGTCCTCGACAAGACGATCATTGATGCGATGCTCGGCCACCTTCTGGATGAGCAGCTCGAGCAGCTGTTTGTTGGCCAACAGCTGGTGGTAGATGCGATCCGCACGCTCCAGTGAGGTGTGTATCATCAATACAGTCTTGGCTCGATCCTCGGCCGATTCGATCGGATCCACGGCACAGCAGACGCGTGCATACATGCTAAAATCGAATTTGGCGTACTTGCAGAAGCCACACGAGTGGCACAAGAACGGATCCTTTTCGTCATAGTTGATGGCCCGACACTTGTGGCACTGGAACACATTCTCCCCGCAGTTGCCGCACACGCCCGGATACGCTGGCACAGCGGCACTGCAGCGCGGACACTGCAGATTCTCGCTGGAACCGCTCACAGTCTCAAAGAAGTCCGCAAATTCAATCATCAGATTGCAGGCCGTGATGGGCAATGGGAAATCAATCTTCAGCTCTGTCTGTCCCGATTGCAGCGAAACGGAGCGGGCCTTGTGCCACAGCGCAGGGCGGTTCTTCAGCTCGACCACCGCCTGGACACTGCGATTGTTGTAGTACACATTGATCGTGCGCACCATCTTCGTGCGCTTCAGATCCGCAATCCGCACAATCAGCTTCGAGATGGTGTGGCACTGCACCAGCTTGTAGATCATCGTTGTGGTGGTATATTTTGAGTCGGACTTGACCGACGGCAGCTTGATGTTGGCCATCGGCACCTCCGGGTTGTTGCACACCAAACAGGGCTCCGATTCCAGATAGTATCCGTTCATCTGCAGTATCGACTCCAGGGTGGTGTAGACGGGGGCATTCGGGTGCTTGCACAGCAGCTCGTTCTGTGTCCGGAGTACTTCGACTGCCCGCGAGACAAACTCTGGCAGGCGTTCGGTTATGCTGCGTGTTGTCAGAGTGAGGTATCCCAATAGATCCACAAATTGTGCTGTCCTTCGGCCATAGGTGGGCACCAGGGGCCACAGGTTCCAGAAAATGGTCAACAGCTTCTCGCGCTGCCGCTCGTTGGCATGCTCGAACAGCCCCGTCATGAAGGAGTGCGCCTGCCAGCGCAGCTGACTGATATTATTCTCCAGCAGGAAGATCCTTACGAAGCGTATGATCAAAGCATCGCAGGCATACCGAAATATCTGATGGACAAATGTCCCGCACTGTGCCGGATCGAATTTCGAATAGTAGGCGTCGGTGTCCTCGCTTTTCTCACGCTCGCTGCGCAGCTTCGAAGACGCCGACACGACTGCTGGCGGTGGCTGCTGTTGTTGCTGCTGCTTGTTGGCTGGCATATTGCAAACGGCCGCCTGCAGCAGCTGTATAATAATGGGAGACACGCCATCATCTAGCTGATAGCAGGCAATCTCCATTAGCATGGCCAAGGCATCCTCATGAACCACACAGAACTTTTGCCAATTGCCAGTGCGCATTTGGCTGATCTCCTGGCAGGTGCGCAGATGCTCTGTCAAATCCACCAACGAGTCGTAGCTGAGCATTGGCGGATTGGCATTGTACGGGGCACCAGTCTAGGGGGGGACGAAAGAGAGAGCTTAAACGGTGCCAGAGTGGGGCATAGAGTAGAGAGAGCACTTACCTTGCTGCTTACAATGCTGCACACTCTCTTGACCACACGGAAATGCGCATCCAACGAGTGACCATCGCGGTACATGCGGAACTTCTCTTTGCTGCCGCAAATGTACATCAGCAGCTTACGCACCTGCCTTCGCAGCAGTGTATTCAGATTGAGCATCATGTACTCGCACAAGGTAAATGTCATGGCCTCACAGAAGCTGCTGTCGTAGTTGTCCGGATGGGCGCTGCTTAGCCGCAGAATCTGGTAGGGCAGCCGCACAATGATCTCCGTGAGCAGTCCGTCGTACGACTCAAAGATATCTGGATAGTTCTTCAGATAGTTCTGCGGTATCAGTATGGATATATCTGGTTTGGGGCCGTGTTTAACGGGTTTGAGCAGCTGTACGCCCGGTCCCGAGGTGGCTCCCCCACTCGCGATCGGTGCTGCGGCTTGGCCTGGCGCATAGGGATCCCCTAGCACGGTTTTCCAGTGCACGAGGAGCGTGTTGAGTGCCTCCAAAGCATAGACAAAGGCCCCACTCTTGCTCAGAACATTCGCTGTGGTGCTGGCCACAAATGAGCTGTTATCCTTGAACTGATGCGGTGGCGAGGTGGTGCCAGTTTGCTTCGATTTGGTCTTGCCCATCATCACACCAAAGAGCGACAATAGAGCAAGGCGTACTTCATTTCCGGGACATTTGTTCTCCATCTGCAAAACAGTATACGATTTAGAAATGGTTTGTTTATGCTCCTCGCCGACTCTGACTCCGATTCGTACCCTTGAGGCCGCTCCACGTTTGCCTATTTCCACGTACTCCACTAGAGCCTGAAGCAGCTCCTGGAGCACCTGCTGGTCCCTTTCGTTGTTGCCATTGAGATCTGTGGTCAGCATGTGTATCACCTGGATGAGCGGTATGGCCTGCAGACCATTGCACAGATCGAATGTGCCCAAGTGCTGGATAATGCTCTCCAAAACAGCAATCCTGCAATGCAGAGACAATCAAACGATTAGAGATTAAGAGATTGCGATATTCTTGGGATATTTTCTCACCTTAAATCGTGCAGTTTCTGCAGCTTTTCATCTTCGTTGATCTCGTTGTTGTCCTCGGTGCTGCTCATGGCGCTCAGGCCGCCTCCTGGGGCAGAGGCAGAGCCACCAGAGCCACTGGGTCCTGGCTGCTGCTCCTCGCCCGGCTCTCCATCCTTGACGGAACTGCAACTCTGTCGCGGTGACGTTGTATTCGGATGATCGCCAAAGTTACTGCTGCGCGCCGATGTGCCGCCAATGCTCTCCACACCACTGCCACCGCTCTCGGATCCCCCACTGCCTGCCGGCTCTGCGGGTGAGGTGCGCAGCGTGGAGCCATCGGTGGCCACATTGGAGCCCTCATCATCGGAGCCTCCCGCAGACACAGAGACCGAAACACTGGCCGCTGCAGCATTGGCTGCCGCCTGTCTGATGCCCTGGATATTGGCCAATCCCTGCTGCAGAGAATGCAGGGCATTGGCATCGGCTCCGCCATGCTGTTGGAGACTCAGGGCAATGGCTATGTCCATGATGGCCTCGTCGTCGCCATCTTCGGGTAGACCCAGCAATCGGGGGAAACCGCCGCCCATGAACGCCTCCAGATTGAGCAGCTGGTGGTTCGGCTGCTGTCCGGGGAGTCCTCCCTCCACTGCCTCGAGCAGAGCGGCCGCTGCATTGTCTTGATCCTGTCCGGCAGCCACGCCTGCTGCCTCTTCGATGATGTCGTTGGCCGCCGATGCAGCCACCGCTTGCAGGGCCTGCATTTGAGGCGTGGGCGTGGAGCAGGCAGGCGGCGTAATGACGGCTATGGCCGCCACCTTGCGGCGCTTCATGCGTGGACTGAGGAGAAGGATCAGTGCCTCCTTGGCGCTGTGACTGATCACGGTGGCATCGTGCTTGAGCAGATCAATGAAGTACTGGGTCATGCGACCCACTTGACCGGGATCGGCCAATGCAAAGCCATACATAATCTCCACCAAACAATGGACGATGGTCTCCGGCTGGCACAGGCCGCGTCTCACAATATTCACTGGCTCGTCCAGATCGGGGGTGATCTTGTGCAGCTCCAGGACAATCCTCATCAGGTCGGGCACCAAATCGTAGCTGTTCTCCAGACAGATCTTGGCCAGTGACTGGGGACGGGAGTTGGCCACGCCGCGTACCAGCAATATCAGGCGATAGAAGGCCTCCGGATCGATTTCTTGCAGAGATTCTAGTTGCTGCAGCTTCGGCTGCATGGCCTGCAGTTCGCCGTGCACGAAGTGCAGGATCACGCCATCCTTGAAGCTGTGATAGGCCGCCCGACTGCCATAGAGGGTGGCCAGCACATAGCGGGCCTGGGTTTGAACGGGATTCGGTGTGGGCAACAGCAGCAGTCCGCTGGCTGTCTTCACGACCTTCGAGCGCAGTGGGGCAGCCACGGCACTGCCGCCCAGCAGATGCAGGGCGCAGTCCAGCACCTCCAGCAGATGGTTAACCATGCGATCCAGCTGGGTGATGCAATTGAAGCCCTCGCCAAAGTTGGCGGCGGCACTCTGTTGCGTGGCCGTCACGGGCGTCGGACCAGAGCTGGGTGCCGGTACGTCTTCGCTATCGTCGGGCCAGCCCACGAGCTCCTTGGACTTGCCATAGACCTCGATAGAGTCCAGGAGTGTGACATGTTCGGGGTCCTGCGACTTGGCAAACACCACCTTCAGCATTTTGTCCGATTGGAACATTTCCTCGCGCGTCAGGGGTATATCAAACCATCGCGCCTTCCTCATCGTTGTGGGTATGGTGCGTCCGAGGATCGTAACTGATACGGGTGCCCGTTGGATATCCTGGGTGCCCAGCATCACACGGAAGCCCACCATGACTACATTTGGATCGTTGTTCACCACCTCCAGTGTGAATCCCGTGGCCTTTGTGCTGGCCACAAACATTCCCGTGGAGAAGAGGCGCGTCTTGAGCTTCTGTTTGTTGTAGATCTGCAAGAGATCGTTGCCGCCAAACTCCACGTCCGCCAGCATGTTGCAATGCTCAAAGAAATCAATCGGGAATATGGGCTGGCCTCCAGATGTCAGTTGCTTCTGGTGCTGTTGGCTGCTGGCCTTGCGATGGAGCAGCTTTCCAGCCGCTGCAGAGCCGCCTCCCTTGCTTTTCCCCTGCGGATTGTTTGTGGTATTCTTTGCCAGCAGCGTGGAGCTGTACAATTGATTGCCGAAAGGTTGCACCTGCGGCGACAGCCAGAAACTCGTGTGCTCTGGTTGGGCCGAGAAGATCCTGAGGCTGCCGTCCTCGCACAGGAGCAGTAGGGTGGTTTTCTCAGTCCCCGCCACGCTATGGCGTATGCCCACCACATCCATTATCCTCGATTTGGCCGACTGGGCCTTGATCTCCTGCATGTATATGCGTTCGGGTGTGATCATCAGTATCACTGGATTATTGGACGTATGCATGCTGGCATAGATCAGTCCGGGATGCCCGGCCACCTCTGTCCAACCCACAAGCGACTGGAGCGGCACCTTCGAAGCCGACGATGATTTGCTGGCCGTCGATGCTGCTGTGTTGTTGATGTCCAAGTGATAGATGCCCTTGACACCCTCGTTTACGTTCGTCAGGGGCGAACAGAAGCTCCTGCCGCAGGTGTAGCTGTAGAAGAGCAGCTGCAGCGCGTGCGAGTAATAGATGGACACACCACCGCCGCACACCTGTCCATTGATATCCTTGATATGCTGATGGCTCAACTCGAGGGTATTTGTCACATAAAAGTCGCCGTGCACGGCCAGACTCTGCTGATCCAGCTGCTGCGTATAGATGTAGCCAGAGCTGGTAAAACTGAGCATGAAATAGCTCCCGCTGCCATCCTGCTGATGGTACATGAACGTGCAGTCCTTGATCTTGCCAACAGCCACGAGATAGTAGTACTTCGGACTGATTGTGTCCACCGACAGGTCGTAGATCTTCACGTAATCCGTGGTGACAATGGCCAGCAGAGTCTGGGAGCCAGGCAGCCACATGGCCTTCTTCAGGAAGTTGCCATTCTCCAATTGGGGCGTGATGACAATGTGTTCATTGGTGCTGCCGCTGCTCGAGAAGGTCAGCACATGGCACTCTTTCAGTCCACACACGGCCAGGCAGTCCTCATTGCAGGGATTGGCCGCCAGCGAGAGCACAGTGCAGGCAATGGGCGCGGAACTCAGTTGCGTGAGAGTCAACTTCCGCTTGGAGGCATCTGCCTGCTTGAGCAACGCCGATAGCTGCAGTATGGTGACCTTTCCCTTCTCATGCGACACGGCCAACTGCTGGCGGCGTCCGTGCGGCGAGGACAGGCAACAAAAGGCCACGCGGCGTATCGTGCCAGAGGTCAGCAAGTGCTTGATGGTCTGCCCCTGATCTCCGGAGTAATTCATCCGCACATTCTCGAAGGCCCCCTCCTGGGAGCCCAGAGTGGCGAACATCAGTTGATCGGTGATCTGGAAACTCTGCTCCAGCTGATGCAGACGCTGCAAGGCGGCAGTGGCACGCCTGTGGCATCCCACAATCGAGTAGAGCGTGCAGTTCTCCCTTATCGACGGCAGCAGCACATCAAAGTACTCGAGTATGCATCGGACCACGAGCATCCATTGTTCCTGATGCTGCAACGTCTCACGGTAGGGTTCGAGGAGTTTCCCCAAAAGCTGGATTCTCTCACTGCTGATCGAGTCCTTGCGGGCAGGCGCTCCATGCTGCTGCTGTGTGGCTCCTGGTGCTGTGTTGCTTCTCTTCTTACTCGCCAGGAGACTCATGTGCGAGGGCAAGTAGCTGCAGCTGCTGCTGCCGCCAGGTCCCACCGACTCGCGTACCTCTCCAGAGCCCAATCTGCGACTCAACGCCTGACACGAGCCATCCTCCTTGGCACCACAGTCGCAGAAGAAGTTCCCGTACTTGGCATAGCTGACATCGTGCCCCTTGTGGCACACCCGGGCACACACAGAGCACACGCCGACCGTGTTGATCATGTTGCAGGTGTGACAGTGGTACCAGTGCTGGTTCATGAACTCCTTTTGGGTCTGCGAGAATGTGCACAGCTTGTTGTTCAGCGTGTCCTCATCGGAGTCATCCAGCAGCGAGTCCTGTTCCTCTTCGGCCAACTCATCGTACAGATCGTCAATGTCCGTCTGCAGTTCGTCGTCCCACGGGGGCATATGCTGGCGACTGCCACGGTAGCCAATGCTCTGCAACAGTTCGCTGAGGTACCGCAGCAGGGCGCTCACATTTTCCGCGTGTCGCAAATGCTTGTCGGGGAGCTGCAGTTTGGCCAGCTCCAGCCACAGCAGCGTCGTATTGAACAACGCCACGTGTCCGCGTGCTGGAGAGGCATCCGCCAGGGTGATCATTATCTGTAGGACATCCGCAAAGTCACAGCCATCGTGAGGCGGGCTGATCAAAGTCTGACCCAGCTGTAGGAGGGCCTGGAAGAGGGGCGCTGCTATCGGACCTGCCTTGCTCTGATCGCGTACTAGGTACTTGGTGATGGACAGCAGTAGTCCTCCATTGCGTTCGCTTTGGCGCTGCTCTCCCCCTTCGCTGTGATCGCAGGCCTGTGAGGACTCCTCCGAGGGATTCGGCTGCGCTGCCTGCCACAGGCTCAAGATCTGTGAAGTGTTGGGTGCAGCTCCTGCCGCTCCTGCTGCTGCCCCGCAGTCGTAATCTATGTCCATGGCATCTAGCTGATCAGAGATACTGGGCATAGCCGACACTGTGGCCATGTTTGTGGGTGTCTGGGCATTGCTACTGGAGCTGCTCGAAGGCTGCATGATGCTCGTGAGCAGGCGGCATGTCGGATCCATGGTCTCGGAGTTGCTGACATCGCCTGCCGTCATATTTGGGCCATAGATTATGTGGGCCAGCCACAGCTTCAGACGTGCCACATCGACTGTGGCCAGATCGCTGAAACAATCCACCAAGTCCTCATGCTGGAACTGGGAGTCCGCTCGAGTGGATTGCTCAAACAAACGTTCGACAAACTGCAGCATTTTGCGGGCATAGCTCAGGGGCAGCGTGGTACCCGTAAAGGACAGCAGCAGCGTGGTCAAGCTGCCCGTCTTCTGGTCATGGAAGAACTGGCGCATGGCCTGCACAGCTGTGGGCTTCTCCAGCATCTTGATGAATGTCTTTAGGACAGCAAACAGCATTGATTCATTGAACAAGGCTCTCTCTTGATCCAATGGGGTGCCTCCCGCCGCTGGCTGTCGCAATTCTGCGGCAAATTCGATCAGCATACGATAGCAGTAGCCAATCATGTGCTCGTACAGCAACAGTTTCTGCGCCTCTAGGGTCAGTCCGCTCAAGATTTCCCTCAGACACTGCTCGCTCTGGCCCTGCAGATAGTCGGTGCGCATGTCCAGCATTGAGGCAATCAGCAGCGGCTTCAACTGGGCATCCATTTCGGTGCAATTGGAGGCGTAGGGCAGCAGCAGCTCCATCAAATGGAGTATCGTCTTCAGGCAGTGTTTGAGCGTATGCAAAGTGGAATAGGCCACACCGCCGCTGCCTCTGGTCAGCTCTGTAATGTGTGCATCAATAACATTCAGGGTGTATGGCTCCACGGGATGCTGTTTTCCATCGAAGGCCGAATCATTGACCATCAAACACTTGGGCCATTCATTGGCTATCAATTGCTTATCCTCATTCGGCAGCAGCTTAAGGAATGCCGCATGCAGCTCCAGCATTATGGCCGGCTTATCGCTCACAATGGGCACTATCAAGTTGAGGACATGCTCGGGCGTGGTGCTCGACAGCTGCTTGAGCATTTGCTCGCGCACAATCTCCGATAGGTAGCGATACGAGTCCATTAGCTTGATCAGCAGCTCGTTGATCATTTGATTGCGTTGCAGCGTTTCCGTGGATAGACCCTGGTCATCCTCGTGCTTGGATTTCTCTTCATCGATGGATTCGTTGGAGGAATACACCTCGGGATGATCATGGTCTGTGGCATTGCCACCACCACTACTGGAGGCCGCACTGGTGCACGATGATTGGTCGCCACCGCTGCTATCCTCGCAGTCCTTGCGCAGCAGCTTGAAGCCCTCCTTTTCGGCCCAGGCCACGGCCTGCATGTGGGCCACCAAGGCATCAAAGAGTATGAGTTCCGAGAGGCGTGGAATACCTATAAAAAAAAAAAAAAAGAGATTACCATTAATCTCGACTCAGCCCCGGCCATAAATTCCGCTTCACACTTACCTTTGTTACTCATCTGCTGATTGAAGGCCTCTACACCAAGGATTGTTTGCTTCAAATTATATCGTATATCGGCTGTGGTATCCCCCACTTGGGTGTACAACGACTCTGCGTACTGTGTGTACATGCCCTGCTTTATGAGGCTATTGACAATCAGATAATGTGACGTGGCCAAGGGCAGGCGTGTGCTCCACACCAGCGAATGCAAATTGGGTGCCCGCTCAATGCGGAGCGCCTCCACGTGAGAGGTGGATGGGGGCAGGCCCAGCAGCAGTTTCCAGGTGTTGGTAAAACAATACTGCATGGCACACAGATTGTGTATGCTGTTGCTCTCGCTGTTCTCCTTTCGGGAAAACGAGGACATGTCCGCTATGTTCAGGATATCCACGAGGGCGTCCACCAGCAGCGGATACTTGAGTTTGTCCGGTGTGCAGAGTATAAAGTTCCAGGCCAGGCCGTCCAATTTGAATTCGCTCACCCAATACGCCTTTTCGGGCTCCTTTACGACCAGGCTATAAAACGTGGGCCGTATATCTGCAGGAGAGACAATCAATTGAGAGATTGGTGATTGGGAGTGGCTATATCGCCTGCTGGTGGATTACTTACTCGATCCATATTCTCCTGAAGACTTGCGGAACTTCTCTTCAATATCCTGACGGCAATACGAGTTCAGTTTGGTACGACTGTTGATCAAATCGGAGACCTTCTGCGTCTCCGGCATGCTGCTCACGCTGAACAGTATCCAGCGGACTTGATCCAACAGTTCGGGCGGTGCGTGATACAGATGTTTCATCAGATACTCTAGGAATACGAGCAAGCGCGATAGAAGCATCATTTGGCTGTTCCTGACGACACGCTCGGCACTGATGCCGCGACAGACTTCGGCGCAGCGTATCACCCCGCCCGCAGTTAGCAGCAGGATGGATTTCTTTTGCATGAGATTGAGCGAGTGGAACAGAAAGAGCAGCAGCTGGGCATGCTCAATGTTGATATCCTCGTAGTCCGAGTCACCGGCAGACGAAGAGGAGCAGACGCCATCAACCAGCGTGTTGATCAAGCGATGCCACACCGACAGGCAGGCGGCCTCCTTCTCCTGTATGGGTTTCAGCAGCAGTATCTGCACAAGAACGGAAAGGGTGCTGGGATAGACCTGTAGGGGCCATGTATTCGTATCCGTGGACCACGGAGAGATGGCCAAATGTTGCAGCAGATTCGATTGGAGCTGCTCGGAGAGCAGTCCCGTGGAGATCAGGTTGTGTATGTATCGACCAGCAGCACCCGAGAAACGTATCATCGACGCCTGCCACTTGGCAGAGGAACCAGAAGATCCAGCTCCTGTGGCAGCAGCCACAGCAGCAGCCGTACTTGGTGGCGACTGCTGTTCGCTGTCGTTGCGCATCACATCGCGATCAAAGTCCTTGATTATGTTGGCCATCAGCAGCATCTGCTGATCGCTGACGCCTGCCTTCACATAGCGCTGCATGTAGGCATGTCGGTTGGCTAGGAATTGATCCAGGAAGCAGAAGATGTCTGCCGACAGCTCCAGATACTCGTGCGGCTCATCTAGTTTCGGTACCAAAGCGCTCTTCTGCTCTCCACTGCGCTCTTGCGACGAAGTATTGGCATTGTCGTCGTGCGTTTCCGGGGAGAGGGTTTCCTTGAACCAATGCCCCAGATAGCTTTCGCTGTCATCTTCTTCAGAGTTGTCCGAATAGGACATGGACTCATTCAGGCAGGTCGTGGAGTCCGAATAGCTAATCGGATCGCATTCGGTGCGGTCTTTAGTTGAAGCACGCTTCAGAGTGCATGCCTTGCGGTAGGCCACGGTGGCCAGAAAAGTGAACAGCTGATGCAGCGTGGCAGTGTTTAGGACCCGCACAATCCTTTCCAGCGATGTGTAATTCTGCAGGATGTCAAATTGCGCTGGCTCTGGCAGCGTTTCGGGATCTGTGACACTGCTCTGTCCGCAGGCGGATTCAATCTTTAGATCCTCAATCAGTTCGGACAGCAGCTTAATGCTGTGATTGGCAATAGCTGCATTCAATTCTCCAAAGCCCTGTTGGACTTTGAACAGATTCACCCTGGCTATTGGTGTACTGGGCGCTGTAATCGACTCTGTTTTGGATGATACTTTTGTGGCGGCTGCCGCTTTGGCTGCCGTTTCTGCCGAGGCACTGCCACTGGCACCCATGGCTCCCTGGATGCCGCTGATGAGCAGCCAGCTGCCGTAGCACAAATGATTCTGATATATATACATCCTGGCCGAGGATTTGAACATCTCGCCAATGCTCGAATAGATTTCGAGGGCTTTGTTTACAATCCCGCTAGCCTGTTCTTCAAATTCGTCGTGATCTTTGCTTGTCTGGACACTGGACAAACCACCGCCGCTGCCCTGGCTGGTGGACGCTGCAGCAGCCGTCTGTTGTTGCTGTTGTTTCTGCGCGCTGCTCGCCTGGCCCATGCTCAAGACACTGGTGGCTATCGAGGTGAGGACAGCATTGTACAGCGCCGAGATGCCGCACATGGAAAGCTTTTCAATGCGGCTCGGTGTCAGCGGCTGCATGACTATCAAAGCATAGGCCTGGCCCACAATCGAGAGATCTGTAAGCATGTGATTCATCGATGATTTCACAGTTGTGGCCTCCGCCTGTGTGAGTGGCAGGTAGAGGGGTTTCCCAGCATTTATCGTCTCCATGTACTTCATGCGATAGCGACTGAGAATGGGCAGGCCCACGCAGATGTCCAACAGGGTATCGACGCCATTTGCCTCCTGGAACACCTCCACATTGGCTGCCAAAAGTTGCTCCTACCAAAAGGAATGAAATTTAATTCAAAATTCATTTGAAGAAAGGCATTTCTTACAGTGCAGTCGGTGATCTCTTCGCTGAGGGGCACCCAGGTCATCTTTCCCGGCTCCAGCGGCGCCAACAGCTGCTGAAGGATAACCGATGATAGGTCCGAGCGCGAGCGTTTAATCTCCAATTTTGGTGACTCTTTATCGTTGCTGCCGCCAGCACCAGCACCACCTGTGGTGCTACCTGCCATTGACATAATACTCTTATTGGATGATTCCGGATGTTTGGAGCTCTTCACCACCCCAGCCACGGCACTGTAGTCGAACTGTGCGACAGCCGAAGAAGCATTCTCCCTGCCCTCGCAGAGCATTTTGAGGGCTGCCAATAGCCATTTCGATTCAAAGACCGACACTTTTGGCAGACGGAAGAGTATAAAGCGAATAAGCACTGCCGTGGCATCGTGCAGCTGGCATATCTGTGTCTGACAAACTAAAAGAAAAACAAAATGTTTAAGATGTACACACATTTGCTTATAAAGAAAGCTTAAGACCCCTTGATACCCCTTAGCAACAGGCCGCGGACATACATTTTGAATATAAACAGACAGAGCGACAAACGAACGCGCTTTCCGCGAATGCGGTACAAACCGCTGCCGAAATATGATACATCCTCTTCTTTAAAGGGTATAAGTAAATACACACGGATGTGTGCTGGTTTGTGTGGGACCCCTTAACGAATTGCATTTCATTGCGAAAAAAAATGTCTCATATAGCTTTGTTGTTTTCTTTTTTTGTTTGGTGAAAAATCATTAAAAGGTAGAAGCGGAGGGGTGCGGAGAAAACTTACTTGATTTGATTTGCATAAGTTTGTCGGCAGCCAGTGCCGCAAAGGCCGTGTAAAATGGTACGAAACTGCCTTCATCGTCGAAAAATTCGTGTTCGCTGCATAAAAGAGGCAAAATATGGTTTTAAAACGGTGCAAATTGTTATAGTTCCGCGGCGGCGGCCATATTTAATTTTGCAAGTCACTTTTTTGCACTTGCAGCGGCAGTCTCATTTTCTTTGCTGCGCCATACAGGCAGCAAGAAAAAAGTTCTTTTGGGGCTTTAGGCTGTTGAGTACTCACCATCTGGTTATTGCTTTTAGCAAATTAACCACTTCGTTTTTGTTTAATGCACCCGTGCGGCTTAAAAGCAAAGCTTTTATTACGGAGTTCCAATCGGTCCCGCCGCTATGGGACGACATTTTTTCAAAAATATCTTATTCTCCAATTAAAAAATATGCAAAAAGTCTAGGCCAGTGTGACCGATAGAATGTATACCCTCAGAAATATGACAAAATATACCTTCTCATTTTCAAAATATACCGTAAATATACCGGTGAAAAACAAACTAAGCCCACTTAACCCCCTCTGTTTAAACAGATGAACAACTTGAGTTAAGGCGCCGAAAATAATACTGTTTCTAGGCGTCCTCTTAACTTACAAAAAAACCCATGATATCTTTCATCAAGATTTATAATTTTCGAGGCTATCTTTGAATATCTGCTGATCCAAAATGGGATTATTGTTCTATTTTTTCATGGCATGAAAATTATATGTCCCCGATTCTGATAATACGGCTTATCATTCCTAGATAGCTTTGAAAGCCTGCTGCAACTATGTGTTTTTTTAAAAACGCATATACAGGCTGTTACAAAAAATACCAGTTCGCACAGCCGATTAATACCGCACTGGTATTTTTCCACATTTATGCAATAGAGCAGCACTGTTTCTCGCGTGCCGATTTTTGTTTATAAATCGAACTAAATTATTCCAATGCAATTTCATTTTAAAATTGAAGACAAGGACATCGTGCCTGCGGCTGCCAGTCATGTGATCAATCCGCACAGTTCTTTGCAGCCCCAGCAGCCCGCTGTGCTGGTGGAGCCGAAGGATGCCCAACATGAAATCAAGCTGCAGTTAGTCCCGCTCCAAAAATTTCAATGCCAGCCACAAAACTGCTGGTTCGATCAGTGAAATTCACTGATATCCCATAACAAATTTATATATATGTATTAACCAGAGGATTCCCTTTTGTTTCCCCTTTTGACAGAAACATTGTGGCAACCTTCTCCGTTAACTGCGAACTGGACCTCAAGACCATCAATTCCCGGACCCGCAACTCTGAATACTCGCCCAAGCGTTTCAGGGGCGTAATCATGCGCATGCACTCGCCCCGCTGCACGGCGCTCATCTTTCGCACGGGCAAAATCATCTGCACTGGGGCCCGCAACGAGAGGGACGCTGACATTGGCTCCCGCAAGTTTGCGCGCATTCTCCAGAAGCTTGGATTCCCCGTCAAGTTTATGGAGTACAAGCTGCAGAATATTGTAGCCACGGTGGACCTGCGCTTCCCCATACGCCTGGAGAACCTCAATCAGGTGCACGGCCAGTTCAGTTCCTACGAGCCAGAAATGTTTCCCGGCCTCATTTACCGCATGGTCAAACCACGCATTGTCCTGCTGATATTTGTCAATGGCAAGGTAGTCTTTACGGGTGCCAAGTCGCGAAAGGATATCATGGATTGCCTGGATGCCATTTCACCTATACTGTTAAGCTTCCGAAAGACGTAGACGGATATCTGTGGAAACGGATATCGGTTATTATCGAGAGTATTTTTAAATAGTTTTTTAAACGCCTTTTTAAGAACAATGCCATTATTTAGATGTGTAGCACAGATGATATTTCATAGAAAATTTACATATATATTTATAGACATGTCGGATCGATGGATTATTCTCGGTGTTTGTTGGTTGTGCATGAAATTATTTTCAGCGAATTTCTACTGTTGTGTGCACCCGTTACATTACTGCTATCCGTTTTTCTTGTCCCGTGCCTATTCTATTACTGTACTTGTGTTCGTTGATGCATTGATACTCGCTCAGAGAGGATACGGCCTTTGGGCATTTCAGCTTGAAAAAGTAACAAGATATTGATTTGAAATACATTGTAATTGAAAGAAAAATCCCCAATGCTTTTCCCATCGCTCATGACAAGTGCGACCAAAATTGAGAGGGATTGTGGTCTGCTTCGCCTGTCCTACCAAAAGTACCATGCGGTACTAATCGGCTCCTAAATCACTTCGCTTACTTCGCGCTTACGTATAAATTATATTGTATAGGTTACATAACGTTTAGTATCAAAATATAATTTTTATTAGTATCAAAATATAATTTTTATTAGTATCAAAATATAAAGTTTCAGCTCCCACAGCTCATAGTATCAAAATATAATAAACGATTCATTCATCATTGCCGCAAACATACACCTGTTGGATTGGTGATTGCTCTTAGTACTCGAAAAGGATGTAAACACTTGCTTTCAAAACGAACCGTGTTTTTGTCTTGGATTGGTTAATTGGTTGTCAAAAGACGAGGTCTCCAGAACGATCAATCAGTGGCCTTTTTGTTTTTTTTTTGTATCTGTTGGATGGGTTTCCTCACTCAACGAAAGTCGCAGACGAACGCAAGGAGGACGAAACGGAAGCAGGACGAAGGACGAAGCCGCATAGGAGAATTGCCTGAGCCATCTACAAAATACAGTTTTTATCAAAAGAAAACTATCTGAATGAAGAAAAGAATTTTGCTTACTTAACTTTTTCTTATGATTTTGTTTTTTTTTGTCACTTTGCTTTTTTAAAAAAAATTCACTTTCTGCTTAATCTCTAGTAAAAATAATTCCGAAATAATATTTTTCAAAATTTAGAATTTTTTTTATTTTTTTTTTTGTTTTTTTTAGTGTTAAACCTACAACACATCGTACAATACTGATACTATTTCAGTAGTTTCAAAAGATGTTGAATTTGACAGCTGGGGTTTTTGTCGGGCATGGATTACTTGTTTCTGTTTTTGTTTTGGGGAAATAGAATGATATAAGTATGATAAATCATACCTAAGGTACCCAGGGAACACACATCAAAAGGCGGCATTATTTGGTGGCCGGTATCGCCATTGATAAGACAGGTAATAAAAAGTTGCAAACCTCTCCTTGGTAGAGTGAAGTTCGGTCTGAGGATCCACCGATAATTACCAAAAACCCAAGACACACAAAACTTGTATTACTTTCGTTTATTTTTCACATTTCTTTCATTACAAAGAAAACGCACAAAAATTATGTACTTCCTGGAGAGATTCGATTCGATTCTTATTGGTAAAGGAGGGACGGAGGACTTTACACACGAACGAGCACATATATTGTATATTCTCATTCCGTCTACATGGCTATGTTGTCAAGAGTACAAACTATTTGTGGGTTCATTTGTGGTGGAAGGGAAAAAGTACGTATAAAACTTACAGACTATGCAGATTCATAAGTTGCATAAATAAAATTGGACGGTTCCGGTTCCTTCAACGAGCGATTCCATTTCGCTTTTCGTTTACAATTAATTCGAAGAGTAAGGCGTTAGGATTATATATATATATATTACTCTATAGATAGGTTTCAATTTCAATTCGATATGTATGCAAAAACACTGATGTCTCGTCGTACATTTTGCTAACACGATTTCTAAAATCTATTAAAGGCATTTTGTGAAAGACACATACAAAATATTGAACGCTTCGATCTCTTCCTCTCTCTTTCTCGATTAAAACGTTCTCCCAGCGGCACTTGGAGCCCGCTCTATGGGGTAAGGCATAGATAATGGTAGTTCATTTCATATATGGTTTCGAATATAACTTAGAGAATACATTTTTGTTTTTAGTTGGGTCGGGGATTCTGTTTTGTGTGCTTTTGTATAAAAGATTCTCTTTGTTCAGCGTTAAACATAAAATTACAAAATTAATACATGAATTAACTCTGGCTCGGGCTGTTTTGTACATTCATTCGATTTTACAGCGAGTGGGGGGTCAAGTAAACAAATAAAGAATACTACAAATAAGACATAAAAACAAAAATGTTGACCAGCATTTTTGGGACGGAATGCAATTTCGTTTGGCAAAAAAACAAAAAACTAAAAAACAAAAAAAGCTAATTTTCTTAGCAATGCAATTTGTGGGAGACATTGTGGTATGGGGATGGTTCTCTATGGTTTTCTTTCTCTATGTGAGCAAATGCAGCATATTCAGTACCAGATGCGTGCGACTTCTCAGCAGGTAGACAAAAACGCTGAAGAACAGCAGCGATACGGACATGGAGGCACGCCAGCCCATGTTGTAGATGGAACAGTACGGGCACTGAGAGCTGCCGCATACCTCGCATATGTTTAGCAAATATGTGGGCAAAGCATCGAAAATTGATTCATTGAAGCGTTCTAAAAGATAAACATCATACATTATTATCTGGCATTATTTGGATGTTTATAAGAAAGCACTTACCCGGCGCATAGTAGTCATAGACGCGCACAGGCAAATACCGCGACATATTGGCCACTGGGTACCAGCGTTCGATGGTAAAGTTTACACAAATATCCTCCTGATCCAGCTGTGGGATTAACATAAAGTTAAGGATTAGTTCAGATTCGTTTTATCCGACATTTCTGGCACTTACAAAATCAAAATAGAAGATAATCTTGCGATCTAGATAGCGGGCACGTCTCAGATTTCGCACACGATTGCTGAGGACATAGCTGTCCAGCTTTTGCTGCTGTATCCAATAGCCAGTGGGTATAGCCACATCCAATATGGCCATGCCCGAGCGTTCCGATTCTGCGGTGTTTATCCAGCTGCAAAAAGAGAAGGCCATAAGTTACTATACGCCTGCTCTGAGATCCGATGGAAAACCTACTTCTGGCAGGCCACATAAGAGATATGCGACTGATTCCTGCCATGGAAAATGGCCTTGGTGTGCAGCCCAAACGCTGGCACCGCCGGTTTGGTTTGGAACTTTTCTATATCCACATTATATTGGACATGCATCTGTAGGATGGCATAGCCAGCGCCCTTGGCTTGTACTTTAATGGTGCCCCAGGCATCAGGTATCTACAGAGACAATGAAAAATCACTTAGTAATCATGTGAAATCTACTAAAGGCAGGCAGCACTTACCTCGATGCTCTGTAGTCGCGCCAGATTGGTGTCATCGATGTGCAGCGTCTGTGTCTTTCCGCCCGTCGAGGAGGCCTCTATTTCCACACTTAGCGAAGAGACTTCGCGTATCCTTGACCTGACCGTGTACTCGACCAGAGCCTTTAGTGCGGCACTTGTGTCTTGGGTGGACTCCCAACCACCATCGTTCAAACGCTGAGAGTTCAACCAACGCACAATGGGATCTACAAAGAACTCGCGACGTGCCACATAAACCAGCAAAGCATATGCCGTTGTCTCTATGTTCAAGGAATCATATTCATATGGCAGTCGGGGCAGGGAGAACCACTTCTGGTTCTCCAGTTTGCGCGGCGGTTGGGGTATCTCTTGGTTTCCCCAGTACATAAATTCGCCAATGGTTCGGGCATGCCTCCGCAAGATGCCAAACACATGCTCGGCAATGGGAGAATTGCACAACTGCAGAGCATACGCCGTGATGGCCACGTCATACGGTTCGGGTGTCTCCTGCAGGAACTGCATATTCCGCTCAATCCAGGCCACAGCACGCTGCGTGGCCAAGGCCACACGGGAGCCCAGAGTGCCCGACAGATCCTTGACGGTGGCCAAAGTGATGAGGACATGCGATGTCAGTGTAATATTGCGATTCCTCAAATGCGTATAGCTGGCAAAATTGGTGCGATTGACTTTCCGATCTGGCGTCCAGGTTACCTCGTAGAAGGCACCCTCTGGCGTCTGGTGCTGCAGCAGCCAGCGCATATTCTTCTCAATGATGCTGGCATCGATCCATATAAAGTTCTCCCACTCGTAGAAGCTGGCCTCCTGGAAGATCCGCATGCAATAGCTCGTCAGCCACACGGACGAATCAGAGTTGTTCCAGTCCGAACGGAAGAGCGAAAAGCTGCCATCCTGCCGCATGAAACTCAACTGCCGCTGATAGCCAATGTTCATGTGATAGAAGGCATTCTTCTCCAGGGTTTTGTTGCGCTGATTGATCAATCGCATGAACATCATCGTATACAGATTGGCGGCAAAACTAAAGGCATTCTGTTCGGCCGATTCCATGGGCAGGTACAGCAAAGAGCTGGCATTCACGGGCATTGTGGGGAAGACGGGTCCCACCACATCACCCACCACCGAGATTCGGGCGCGATTTGAACCGTAAACAAAGTACCGGTCCACCTGGTAGGGTATCTCTGGGGTCTGCGTCACATTCACATGCAAATACTCCAGGACATAGGCGCGATTCGAGAGATCCAGCAGCAACGACTGATGACGGTACTGTGGCAGGCCATCGGACTCCACATGCAGTCTCCTCGTGATGGTATCCGTGCCCAGTAGGGTGGCCACATGCAGTGTGACGTCCACATCTCCCAGCCGCTGGGGCACCACCGGCACATACACCACTGTGGTACCTTGGGCGTCCAAATAAATGAAGAACTGATGCTCTCCCCCGCTGATACGCGGATTATACGACCGCACAATGCCATCCTCTTCGACATGGACAAACTTATAGTCCGGACTGCCATGCAGCACTACCGTAGCCTCAATGGGCGTGGTCATATAGTTGAAAACAGTCACTCGCACGCCCACCTGTTCGCCCTGCCTGCAGGTCTCGGGCATTTCCACATTAATGAAGAACGGCTGTACGCCCACATATTCAAGGGCCTTGTTGAGCATCCCGAAGCCCTTGGAGGGGCTCACACTGAACGCGCTCACCATCCAATAGGCCGGGCGATCGGGCACTTCCACATTGAAGATGTAGCGACCATGTGGTCCTATATTGACATCTCGCCACAGCCACACGTTCTCGTAGTGTCGCAGAACGCGATTGAAACGATACTTGCGATAGCTCAGCAGCTCCGTGTCATTCCTTATGTGGCAGCCAATCTCATCTGTGCCATCGTCACAGTCGAACAGGCCATCGCATTGCTTCTCCAGCCGATAGCAGCGTCCACTCAGGCACTCCCCATAGCCCAGGGTGCGATTGCACGTGTCCTGGCGCCGTGGCACATAGCCATCTGTAAACACAATCAATCCACTGTACTCGAACGTGCGATTGGCATCAATGCCAAAGGAAGAGGCTGGGAAGTACACCAGCTCGTCGGGATTGCCCTCGTGCGAGTACCAAATGTGTTTGTATGTGCCATTCGTTTGCTCATCAAAGTTGGACATTTTCGTGATGATCTTTGCGTAGGTCAACTCATTACCCGCCTGCATCGTATAGAAGGCACTGTCAATGCCCGAGAGACCCACATAAGAGCCGGGTTCTCCGAATATGGCCACCTCCACCTTCTCTCCAGTCCTGGCTTTGCGATTGTTAATGTACACCGTGAAATTATTCCTGGAGATGCCGTTCACAGGGAAGGTTAGCGAATCCGCCACCACCTGTCCCTGCTGTGTGATCTTCCATACCACCATCGTGGCCATGGGCGCCATTTCTGCACTCAGGACCACCGCTATGGTCTTTATGCCCTCCGTGATGGTCTCCCGATCGTTGACAATGATCACGCCCTTGGACATGATCAGGTAGTTGAACTCTTCCAGATAGAAATTCGTGCGTATGTGGAATATAATGTACTCCCCCACCACAGGGGCCTCTGTGCTGGTCGTGATCTTGATGTGCTGATTCCT